CAACACCTTAATCCAATTAAGAGGTCTCAAATATAAAAGGATGCATAAGAGAGAGAAAAAAGGCCAGAAAAATAAACCAAAAAAAACAAAAAACCAATTTGGAAGGTAGATGGAAAGACAAAAATACCAGGAAGGGAGAGAGAAAAAAAGGCTACTCCCTTAAAAAGAAAAGGAAGGGAATCATTAATACTAAAGCTTTTCCTTTAAAATAAAAAGCAAGCGTAGAAATTTAACTTCCAAAGACAAGAAGAAAAAAAACAAAGACAAGTTCCAAAGAGCCAAAAATCCAAATAACTATTACAAAAAGTAAACTGATGAGGAGGGGTAGCGCAGCTTAGAAAAAAATAAAAAGAGCACACTGCACTTTGTTTAATTATCCAAGGCTCTTGTTATAACTCTCTTGTCCAAAGACTTATCACCTTTTCTTTTCCTATAAGCTTCAACACCAGACTCCAGCTGTTGATAGAAACCCAGAAGAGCACCTGCAATAATACTCTCCCATGCTCTTCCCTCTATCTTATCAAACAGGCAATGTCCTTGAAAAGAAGTCTCAGTTCTTTCTCAGCTTTGTCTGGTCAAAAGAGAAATAGAATATTTCCAAGCCTCTAGTTGGCAGTGTTACAAAGCTTCTTTTGCTTTCACTTTCCCCCTCCTTTTCCAAGCAAAATATAATAAGAATTAATTAAAAAAAGAAAAAGATATTTTAAAAAAATAACTAAAAGGGAGTCTCTATCCTAAAATATTATAAAGTCAAAAAGGAGAAAAAGAATAGATGAAGAAGAGAAAAAAAAACAGTCCAGTTTCAAAATATAAGATCATGTGTAGAAAATCCAGCAATGAGAAAAAAAAAATATTACTTTGACATTCCTGTTTAAAATTGCCGCTTAATCACTTCTGTCAAAACTTTTACAGATTCTTTCTTTTCCTTAGGGTGTCCTTTCAAATCTTAAAATAAAGAAAAAGTTCTCACCAAACCGGCACACTCTCTCTTTCCGTTCTCTTTCATTTCGGAGCTGTCCCAACTTCAGCAGCTTTAATGGCTGCCTCTTTGCCGCTGGCAAAAAGAGCTTCTCCTGGAACTACCAGGAACTTTGCGGTATCCCTGGGATCAGCAGGATGCGCTCTTTACATTCACCGTCTCTTCAGGACGGTTTAGATCCACTTGGACCATCCAGGAGCAAAGATATCGGCAGCGATCTCAGACCTCCAAGATCGCATGCCGTATCGTCGCGACGCCAGCTCTGCCCTCCTGAGCCAGCTTCTAAAATTCTTTTTGGCACCAGTCTGAAAAGGTTATTTAAGATTTCTAGGAATTGGCATCCAGATTCTCCGTTTCTGGGCATCTTATTTCCTTCGCTACCATTCAAAAGAAATTGGAAGGCAAAATTTCTATGCGTGCAGGCAGTCCTCGACTTGCGACCACAATTGAGCCCCAGATTTCTGTGGTTAAGCGAGACACTTGTTCAAGTGAGTTTTGCCCCATTTTAGTTTAGTTTACTTCAGTTTATTGTCATGGCACCTCGTACAACGAAATTAAATTTTACGACCGTTCTTGCCAGAGTTCGTAAAGCGAATCACAACAGTGCTGGCAGCAGTAATGAAGAGGTCCCCGAGGAGCCTGTGCCCAGGACTGCTCGAAGGAAAGAGTAGCTGCAGCAGCACGGGCAACTCAGGAGTAAGGCTGCAAGGTGATGGCCCTTCCCATAAGGGATAAAGTGACTTATGGCCGGTTTTCAGAGTTCTGACCTTTGCAGTTCATGTGATCAAAATTCAGGTGCTTAGCAACTGGTTAATAGTTACGACCGTTTCAGTGTCCCAGGGTCATGGGATCCCCTTTTGCGACCTTCTGACCAGCAAAGTCAATGGGGAAGCCAGATTCGCTTAACAACCACATTACTAACTTATCAGCTGCAGTGATTCACTTAACAACTGTGGCAAAAAAAGGTCGAGGACTACCGCCATTCAAATTATAGAAGATGTCCAACTAAGTGAATGTCTTAGCAGGTGGTAGAAGGCTAGCCAGCTGACTTAACTTATCAACTGCAGTGATTAACAACTGTGGCAAAAATGGTTGTAAAATGGGGGCAAAGCTCACTTAACAAATGTCTCACTTAACAACAGAAACGTTGGGCTTAATTGTCATAAGACGAGGATGAGTTGTTGTGACTGGAAGGGTTGAGCCTGCTGTGAGTTTGGAGTCTGATGTATCAGAGGACACTGGTGTGAGTGAGGAGGAGGGTTTGGCATTGGAATTGGAGCCTGCTCTAAGGAGAGATGCAGACGTGAGCCAGGAGGATGAGAGAGTGTCGGAGACACGATCATCTCCAGAACCTTCCACTTCATTCATACCCCAGGTGTCAGCAGCTGATCCACAGAACGTGCCAGAAGCTTCGAGTGATGATGAGACTGACGGATGTTGGCTTGATGTTAGGACTAGAAGAAGATTGAAACCTCAATCGCAATTTGAAAAGAAATGTCAAGCCAGAGCTTAATTAGAGAGACTGACACGCCCCTTCAGGGGATATAAGGAAACGTGCTAGCTCTTAATCCTTGTTCGAAGCAAAGTGTCTTTTGGTTTGGAGAATGCGGTCTGACTCTCTCGGCTGCAGCGTCTTGATTTATGGTTAGCTCGGACTTGCCAGACAGATTCCAGGAAGACTGCCAAGGACTGTGTAAACAGAAGCAGTTAACTCTGCCGTGTCTGGGTTTGTCTGTTTGAGCATTTGAACTTTGGAACTTTGGATTCTCACCTGTGGATACAGGTGAGACAGAACAACGAGTACTCTGCCTTTATTATATTTACATGTAACTCAAGGCGGCAATCCACCTTTCTCCTTCTATTTTCCCTGCAACAACAACCCTGTGAGCGGGGTTGAGCTGAGAAAGAGTAACTGGTCCAAATAAATACATTGCACCACAGTTCCTATCATCCCAGCTGCTGTGTTGCTGGGAATGATGGTAGCTCTAGTTCCGTGACGGCGAACCTATGGCACGCGTGTCACAGGTGGCACGCAGAGCCATTTGTGCGGGCACGTGAGCCCCAGGCAAACTTACCTGCACTGTGCATGCACGTGCCTCCCAGCTGATTTTTGGCCTGTTTGAGGCCTTTTTCGCCCTCCCGGGGGCTCGAGGGAAGCCTCTGCAGCCTTTGGAGGCCGAAAAACAGGTCTTCCAGAAATACCGGAAGTGCCAAAACTGGAACTGCTGAAACCAGAAGTGCCGAAATGGGCCCGTTTTTCAGCCTCCAAAGGCTGCAGAGGCTTCCCTCGAACCCCCAGGAGGGTGAAAATGGCCTCAATCGAGCCAAAAATCAGCTGGGAGGCACGCCCATGCACAGTGCAGGTAAGGGGGGGGGGTTGCATGCATGGGGGGACATTACATTGTGGGTGCTGGCATGCGCGCGCTTTCGGCACACCACAACAAAAAGGTTCGCCATCACTGCTCTAGTTTAAACCATCCAGAGGCCATCAAATTTAGAAGAATGCCACTGAAAAACAATAGTCCATGAATAATAGAGCTGGAAGGGACCTTGGAGGTCTTCTAGTCTAACCCCCTGCTCAAGCAAGAGACCCTATACCAGTGGTGGCTAATCTTTTTGGGCTCCTGTGCCAAAAATTGCGCATGCACATGCGCACACGCAAGCCAGCACCCAGAAGACAATACACGCAGGCCCCCCACGTCCCCTGCGCATGCACGCGTGATCACCTTCCCTCTCGCCGCCCCCTTACCTGCACTGCAGCTCCCAGCTGATTTACGGCCCATTTGAGGCCTTTCTTCGGCCTCCCAGACACTCAAGGGAAGCCTCTGCAGCCTTTGGAGGCCGAAAAATGGGACCGTTTTGTCAGTTCCGGTATTTCCGGAAATACAGGAAGTGATGAAACAGGCCTGTTTTTCAGCCTCCAAAGGCTGCAGAGGCTTCCCTCGAGCCTCCGGGAGGCCGAAAAAGGCCTCAAACGGGCCGAAAATCAGCTGGGAGGCACATGCATGCACAGTGCGGATAAGTTTGCCTGGAGCTCATGTGCCCGCACAAATGGCTCTGCGTGCCACCTGTGGCACGCGTGCCATAGGTTCACCATCACGGCCTTATATTATTCCAGACATGGGGCTGTCCAGTCTCTTCTTAAAAACCTCCAGCGATGGAGCAGCCACAACTTCTGGAGGCAAACTGTTCCCCTGGTTATTTGTCCTCACCTCACAGTTTCTCTTTAATTCTAGGTTGGCTCTCTCCTTGGTTACTTTCCATCCATTCCTTCAGGTGCTTTGGAGAATAGGTGTACCCCCTTTTCTTTGTGGCAGCCCCTCAAATATGTACTGGAAGACTGCTATCATGTCACCCCTAATCAGTGGTGGGGATTCAAAAAAATTTACTACCCGTTCTGTGGGCTTGGCTTGGTAGGCGTGGCAGGGGAAGGATACTGCAAAATCCCCATTCCTTCCCCACTCCACTGACCTGCTTTCCAGCTCCATTCTCCTGTGCAGGGCAACCAAAGGAGACCCAGCTGATCAGCTGGGCCTCGGGTGCCAGAGAATAGATTGGGGCGGGAGGGGGCAGTCAGAGGTGGTATTTGCCGGTTCTCCGAACAACTCCAAATTTCCGCTACCGGTTCTCCAGAACTGGTCAGAACCTGCTGAATACCACCCCTGCCCCAAATCCTTCTTTTCATTAAACTAGACACACCCAATTCCTTCAACTGTTCTTTGTACATTTAAGCTTCCAGTCTCCTTTGTTGCTCTTTTCTGCACTCTTTTCTAGAGTCTCTGCATCTTTTGTTATATTGTGGTGACCAAAACTGTGTGTTCCAAGTGTCGTCTTACTAAGGCTTTTTATAAAGCAGTGCTAATACTTTACATGATCTTGAAGATGACGACTAGCACAACTGAGAAATTTAGGACAGCATAAGCTAGGAAACATTCACAGTTCTTTTGCAGAAAGGCAAAGTTTAAATCTACGTCATATAAATATGAATTGTGAAATAACTCATTTTCTTTTTCCTTTAAAGGCCTCGGTTGGGAGGCAAAGCCCAAGGATCGTGCCTTATCCTGCACATAACTTATGTTCTGGGCGATCCAATCTTCATACCACGGCAGGTAAAGGGACCTTCCAGACATAAGACTGGACTTTTTGAATCATTGTTCTTCCCTAATTTTGAATTATGATTGTTCATTAATATTCCTCCTGATAATGAATGAATGAATGAATGAATGAATGCTTTATTGGCCAAGTGTGCTTTATTGGCCATACTGCTTTGGTTCTTCATCTCTGCAACCAACTTGCTGCGAATCCATCAAAAAATACTGAAACACTGTAGACCAAATCTACACCCAGTGAAATTACTGGTTTGTACCTTTCAAGCTAGCTGTAAATGTGGGCTGATTTACTTTGGAGCTGCCCAACCAGCTTTTATCTCCACCAAAAGTAAGAATTACAGGTAGTCCTCAACTTACGACCATGGTCGGGACCAGAATTTCCATTGCTGAGCATTGTGTTTGTTAAGTGAGTCACAGCCGATTTTATGACTTTTTTGCCAGAGTTTTTTTTTTTTTATTCTAGAAAAAACATTTATTTGACATACATTTAAAACAGACAAATCAATA